TCGTCGCTCGTACAGCTGCAGCTGGAAGCGGGAACGAGCTCCCATGAACGGATTATTCGTGTCTGCGTTTGTGCGCGGGGGAGCCCGGCTTTGGCAAGGGAGTATGCGCTGACGACGAGGCGACCATTGGAACAGGCGCCCAGCTGCGAGGTCATTCCAGTGGCACCCCCCGTGGAACCTACCGCTTGAGTGAGTCAGAACTTACTAAAGAGAGACAACACGAAAACAATAACAGCCCTCGGAGTGTTCCCGCCTTTCACGGTTGCAGCTGGAAACGCGGCGCCTGCGTGCATTACCGGATTAGGAATACCCGACGAAGGCTTGTTAAGCATCTCTTTCTGCGTTCGTGCGCGCCGGTGTTATGCTTTGGCTGCTCGTCGCCACCTTGGCCCAAGGACGCCTTCCCGAACAAGGGGTCCCCTTGTTCGGGAATGCCACTCCATCTGCCGGCGTCTTATTCATTTCTGCGCTCAAACTTTCGTGATGAGGAACATGAGCACTAGATTTCGAAAATAGTGAGTAATTTGAGTAGTAGTTAGAGTAGTTAAATTAAACTACTAATTACCAAAATCAAGTTGTAATTGAAAGTTATTAAGTTACTCGAAAAAGTAGTTAAACTACAGTAGCTTGAGTTGAGTAGTTGAACTACGTCCAAGTCTGCCTCAAGCATTACTTCTATCGCAGAACGGAACTCACGGTGAAGAGCGACTGTTTAATCTGGAGAACACAAGCGTCATCGTACCCACGAGGTACCAAAAGTAGGTCCTGAACGAGTTGCACCAAGGTTATTTGGGGATGACAAAAATGAACGGACCAGCACCTCTGCTGGACACTTTTGGATCATAACATCGAAACGATGATCCGGAGTTGGCCACCGTGTCAGGAAGTGAGCAGCGAGGCACCCGAAGTTCCCATACAACTGTGGGAATACCTAAAAAGGAAAGGGCAACGCCTGCAAAGCACACTTCGCAGGACCCTTTTAAGGAAGGAATTTCTTGCTGATCATAGATGCATACCCAAAATAGCCCGAGGTAGTGCCAATGACCTCGACGACTTCGGCATCCACCTTAAGATTATTTTTAACTCTCTTTGCAAGATATGTACTGCCAAAACGGATTGTGACAGAAAATGGCCCACAATTCCTATTAAGAGAGTTCAAGGATTTCTTGACAACAAACGGAGCGTCCAATTGTTTTCACCTCCCAGCCACGCTCACGCAGCCGTAGCCTTGGCTATTGAAATGCAGACAAGGAGCAAGGGAGAGAGAGGAGGAGGAAGGGAGAAGAGAAAAAAGAGAGGGTGCGCCACGGTCAAAGTTGGGCGGAAAGAGAACGGGTTTTATAGGGGTACTTAATGTATGCACCACGCTTGCCCCAAGGGGCGCAAGTAGTCCGATGAATGAAAACAATGGGTGGCTAGATTAATACGGCTGACTCCTTTGAATCGGGCGTTGGCTTGCGCCATGTGGCCAGCCTTCTGCGGGGAATGGGCTTGCGCCCGACCGCTTCCCTTATCCCCTTTCTTTCTGCTTTCAATTAACTCTTTGCACGCATAAAAATATAAAAGGGATTTTTCGTGTGATTTTCATTGTTTTTTCCTTTTTTGTGCGAGAACAGGGTAAAATAGAAATGATTGCTCTGAATTATTTGCATACCACAACGTACGGATATGAACACAAACCTAGAAATAATTACACTGAGTTTTATAGTATAAGATTATTTACATACCACACGACACAGCAAGAGAGCAAACAAAACTAGCCATGCGGTCTGTATTAATCCAGACCCTTGCAAATAAATTGTAAAAAACGCAAAGGGGGTTAATTAGGCGGTGCATTTGTTTGTAAATATTAAAACGCCGAACTTAATTAAAATGTACATACTAGAACGAACTTTCCGGTGGCCAAAAGGGACCTATCCTTTCTTTCCTGCCGTTGAGAAACAAAGAACCATTATTCTCAGCCCTTTCGGATCAACAAAAGAAAAAAAAATGGGAAGGAAGAAAAGCTGAAACAAGTCTTATCTCAAGCTCTAGTTCTGCTCAGCCAAAGGTCAATAGTGCAAAAATTAAAGTTAAGGTACGGCGTTGTTTTCAAAGCGCTTCTTATTTATAAATGCGTCCACCGAAAAATGAGCTGAACAGAGATAGCGCTCTTTCGTTCTCTTGTGATCTTTGGCGAATTGGCATACGATGCCCATCTCTCGTACCTTAAATTAATAATAATAACATACGCTAAGAACTTACGTTCACCGGACTTCGCAGTAACGAACTAAAGTACCTAGCTCCGAACCTGAACCATACCTGTGACCTGATTGGGAGAAGCATCATAGAAACATTTGGCGTCTTCTTAGAATTGCCGCAACATCTTGCAGAACAGTTCCTTCCAGACATCATTCACACTTGGTCTGTAACCAGACGCGCCACCGCGACTTCCTTCAGACAAACCAAAACTAGCGGACCGACAAGGGCGATCCAGCCGATCCATCACTGCCGTCACCGTCGTCACCCCACAATTAGAAGAACTGGCAGAACTCCGGCGACTCCGGCGCATCCGAACCCGCTAGACAAAGACCGTTGCTCCCGTAATGCATTACCCTAACTTCACACGACGGAGAGGCGACAAAATGCCACGTTTTGCGGTGGCCAATTTGTACGGGTAGTTACATATGCACGACGGTGCCGGCCTCTAGGGTATTTTTCAGAACGCCGGGAGCTGCGTTCGCCTGTCCCAGCCGCCCCGCAGCTAATGGTGCGAAAGGAAGTTCGTTGGAACATTCAAAAAGCCTACCAACGCAAGCCTGAAGTCGGGGCTGGCCATGAATTATGGATTCCGTAACTTGTTGGTGACACACCGGACGACGCCGCACATGACAACTGGCTCAACAAACCTGCCCGGACGATGAGAGGAGAAAAATTTTGCGCAAGGTTCGACCTTCTTAGACCATGAATAACCGATAGAGTGCGATCCAAACAGCCGAAGCAACACGCCTCGCGCTACTCTAAAGAACGACACCCACATAAGAACGACCAAGTGGGGGCACGGCACTCTTTTCGGCCCGTACTCACGTTGCTTCATGTATCAGGTGCTCGCCGGGATCCTTGCTGTCGCGGCGAACGTCGACGGGGCGGCGGCGTTTCCCATCTCGGAGCCATGGACGCCACTATCCGGATTTGCGACAATGTCAACCGGCAGCCCATTCGAGCCAGCGGAGGCCACAGAAACTTTTCTGGGTTTCCTTGAAGACCGGCAGATGGCTAGGCTCCGAGGGACACTTCCGGATCCGCCCCACCACAGCCACAAAAGGGAGCTACCTCGTCCGGCACCACTGGGGCACGGCACTCTTTTCGGCCCGTACTCACGTTGCTTCATGTATCAGGTGCTCGCCGGGATTCTTGCTGTCGCGGCGAACTTCGACGGGGCGGCGGCGTTTCCCATCTCGGAGCCATGGACGCCACTATCAGGATTTGCGACAATGTCAACCGGCAGCCCATTCGAGCCAGCGGAGGCTACAGAAACTTTTCTGGGTTTCCTTGAAGACCGGCAGATGGCTAGGCTCCGAGGGACACTTCCGGATCCGCCCCACCACAGCCACAAAAGGGAGCTACCTCGTCCGGCACCACTGGGGCACGGCACTCTTTTCGGCCCGTACTCACGTTGCTTCATGTATCAGGTGCTCGCCGGGATCCTTGCTGTCGCGGCGAACTTCGACGGGGCGGCGGCGTTTCCCATCTCGGAGCCATGGACGCCACTATCAGGATTTGCGACAATGTCAACCGGCAGCCCATTCGAGCCAGCGGAGGCTACAGAAACTTTTCTGGGTTTCCTTGAAGACCGGCAGATGGCTAGGCTCCGAGGGACACTTCCGGATCCGCCCCACCACAGCCACAAAAGGGAGCTACCTCGTCCGGCACCACTGGGGCACGGCACTCTTTTCGGCCCGTACTCACGTTGCTTCATGTATCAGGTTGGTTACTTGGAATGCTCTAAGTGCTATCGAACAAGTAATCTACTGCTCGTGAGAGTGTCGTGCCCTATCAACAAACGCATCCTGCACTGGTGTTCTTATCTTTTTGGTGTCGGGGTAATTGATGAGTTAACATTCCTGTTCTTCGACTCCTGTCTTTTGTTCACGGAAGCATTGCTCCTCTTGGCAGGGGACGTAGAATCAAACCCCGGTCCCATGTCTAAGGCTGAAACTGAACAGTTGGCAAAAATTGAAAGCATACTCTTAGAATTGCAGTCTGGACAAGCAACTGTTTTAGGAAAGCTAACAGGCATAGAAAAAAGGCAAGCTGATCTTGAGAATAAGATTGATGGCGTAATTTCAAAGACAAAGGTACTAGAAAGACGCGTGGCACATGTTGAAGAAAGTGAGTTTAAACTTGAAGCCAAATTAGACGACCTTGAAAATAGAAGTCGACGATCTAACTTAGCTTTTTTTGGTGTTCCCGACAACTCCAGAAAAAAGACATGGGAAGAATCTGAGAGACGAATAAGGGACATCTGTAAAGAAACGTTATCTATCGACAATGTTGAGATCGGAAGAGCCCACCGCGTGGGAGCATTTAAAGATGGAAAAAATCGGCCTATCGTTGCGCATTTTGCTGGCTGGAAAGCCAGAGAAAATGTGAGGCGAAATGCATTTAGGTTTAAAAATACCCCAATCAGCGTCTCGGAAGACTTCAGTCTCCTAGTTCAAGAAAAACGACGGCAACTCTGAAACTACGCAAAAGAGAAAAGGCAAAATAAAGAAAACCGGGTCTATTTGAACCATGATAAGATAGTAATAAATGGGCAGACGTTTATCTGGGACAGCGACACGTGTCAACCAGTCCTGCATCGGCCGACTAATTCCGAGATCATAGCAGAATGACGACACCTACCTCCTATCAACAGACCAAGCAAAGATGACATTGTTGAAATGCCAGAGAAACCTACGGTTCTGGTTGTGAACTGCCGTAGCATCATGAGTAAAGTTGATGAGCTTGCATCTTTAATAATGACTTTTAATCCACAGATTGTTATGGGGACCGAATCTTGGTTGGACGATACGGTCTCTGACACTGAGGTTTTTCCGCCGGGATTTACGGTATATCGTAAAGACAGACATCGACACGGAGGAGGAGTCTTTTTGCTGGTTTCATCTTGGTGGAGAAGCTGTGCAGTTAAATTTGAGAATGACTCTGAGTCGGTGTGGTGTCGCGTTCGTTTTCCCAAAGGGAACACTGTGGTGTTTGGAACTATCTACCGTCCGCCAGACGGAAATGAAACAAGCATTTCTTTACTCTCAGATATGTCATCGGTGATACCAGACACCGTCTTTCTGGGAGGCGACTTTAATTTACCAGACTTTTCGTGGTTAAGTGGGACGACGGCAAGAAGCAAATCGCGTGTTTATTCTATGTTCACAGAATTGATAGATACATTTGGTCTGATTCAGTATGTCATGGAGCCGACTCGACTGACGGCAGTTTTAGATCTCGTCTTATGCAATGACCCAAAGATTGTTTCTAGCGCCCAGGTATATCCTGGAATAAGTGATCACGATGTTGTTGTTACCGAGTTGAATGTATCAGGCGTACCTGAACAGAAACAAGAGCCACGCAGAGTACTCCTCTATGAAAAGGGTAATTTTGACGCCATCAATAATGCTTTACAGACATATTCTAACTTTTTCATGTTTATCTGAGTCTTGTACAACAGAGGATATTTGGATTTTGTTTCGCAATAAAATATTGGAATTAGTTGAGGCTTTTGTACCTTCAAGAACTTTGCGGCAAAGGCGTAAACAAAAACCTTGGTTTAATGCCGAAATACGGAAACTGCTGGGGAAAGCAAGGCGGGCTTACAAAAAACGTCGTAAAGATAACTCTGTCTTTAATTTGCAAGGGTTAAAATATATTAATAATCAATTAAAAGTAACATTAAAGTTAGCTAAGCAGTCATTTTTTACCAGGCTAAACTGCGATCTTAAACGAAACCCTAAGGTATTCTGGAAATATGTGAAGTCATGCAGGAAAGACGATATTTCTCTCCCAGTTCTTAATGTTGACGGCCAAATGTTAAAGGAAAATGTGGAGAAGGCAGAATGCTTCAATTCCTACTTTAAATCGGTATTTTCTCCGGGACTCTCTGGGTATGATGTGGAATCACCGAATAGTTGTTTTACTGGCATGATGGCGGATATTGATATTGATGTTCATGGTATTGCCTCTCTTTTGCGCGGCCTAGATCAGTCAAAGGCTACTGGCCCTGATGGTATATCACCTGTTATTCTCATTAAGTGTTCCGAGATTGTATCACAGTACTTGTCTATTATATTTAAAACGATACTTGAGACGGGGTTGGTCCCAATAGATTGGAAAACGGCGAATGTGATTCCTGTTTTTAAATCCGGAGATAAGAAAATTGTAAAAAATTATAGGCCTATATCACTAATGTCAGTTTGCTCTAAGCTTTTTGAGCATATTTTATATAGCGCAATGTTCAAATATCTTGATAGCTTTAGCTTTTTTACTCCATCCCAGCATGGCTTTCGGAGTGGATTTTCATGCAACACGCAGTTAGCAGAGTTCCAGCATTACCTATTAAAAGCAAATGACAAAAATACGCAAGTAGACGCAGTCTTTCTAGATTTCAGCAAAGCTTTCGACACGGTACCACACAACCTTCTACTGATAAAACTAACCTCTATAAATATTAATAGTAAGGTACTAAATTGTATACGAAATTACTTAAGTGACCGTGAGCAATGTGTTGTCTTAAATGGAAGTAAATCCTCAGTCGTTTTCGTGACTTCAGGGGTCCCCTAGGGTAGTGTTCTTGGACCGTTACTGTTTTTAATTTATGTTAACGACATTGTACAAAATATTCAGTCGACAATAAAACTTTTCGCTGATGATTCCGTTATTTACAGGGAAATAAATTCTACGAGAGACATCGAGATCCTGCAGAGCGATCTAGATAAGGTTGAATACTGATGTAACCAATGGAACATGAGCCTAAATATTGGAAAATGTAACCTCGTTAATTTTGCTAGAAACGTCTCTAAATTTTTTACAAGTTATACTATCAAAAACCTGACAATCGGCAATGTCTCTGAGTGTAAATATCTTGGCGTTTATTTTCACCAATCACTTAAATGGAATAAACATATTGACTACACAATTAATAAGGCCAGTAAAATGTTGTTTTTTATCCGTAGAAATTTCAAACACGCGTCCCGAGACGTAAAAGAAACTCTACTTCTTGCACGTAAGGTCAATGCTTGATTATGCGTGCGTTATATGGGATCCATACCAGCAGTATCTGATCGATAGATTAGAGAAACTTCAAAATCAAGCAGCGCGATTTGTCAGTAACAACTACGATCCATACGCTAGTATGACAGAGGTTAAAACCATGCTGGGATGGGAGCCGTTGAGCATTCGAAGGCAAAAATTAAGATTGAAGTTTTTCCATCGCATTTATTATAATAATGCTGGTATTAATAAGAATGAGTATCTTTTCGGGCCAACGTATGTTTCAGCTAGGTGTTATAACTCTAGAAAAGTTTTTGAATATTCCTATGAAACAAACAGCTTCTGTCATTCTTTTTTTGTAAAGACAATTAGAGAGTGGAACTTGCTGCCTGATGATGTGGTGAGCACCTTGGACAACAGTGTATTTTTTTCTCGGCTGTATATCTAATCTGTGCGGACAAGTGATCACTTTGTGTTTTTATGTATGTGTGTTATTTCCCGCCCCTCCTACAATAATGCCCTCGAGGCGATGTAGGTACTCTGTAAATAAATAATAAATAAATAAATAAATAAAGTGTGGGCAAAAGATAACAGGAACGGCAAGAAATGGCCTAAAGGCTCCGTCGCCCGAGCTCTAGGAAACCGAACATATGAGATTCGCACGAACGACGAAAATACCTGGAAGCGTACAGATTGAACAGCTGAGATATATGCACCCAAGGAGACAAAGAGAATATCTACGAATCAAGACGATAGCCTCCGGCGCGCAAAAACATCAAGAAAGTTCAACCCTTCTCGCAGCATGAGTCAACGAAACGGTTCACCGTTTCCGATTTCCAGTGACGACTTTCCACATACCATTCGTCAGAACGATTCTGCAACACCGGAGCCAGGCATCCAAGCTCACTTGCCACACCGCTTAATGGCACACGTGACCAGGACAAGGGGCAGCCCTACTCTTCTCAGACTATGAACACGGACAAGCAAGCCACCTACCCGGCTTGGCCCGTGAAAACGAAGTGTTTTTTTAAGGGCCATATCTTGCCGTGTATTATTATCGTGTTCGCAGTGTATAGCGAACATGATCTATTGATCCCAAACAACGGCGTATGCAACCCGAGACAGCGGGAGAGGAAAGCCGAACGGTGAGCCACGGAGTAGTACGGAACGCAATGTAAGCCAGAGTTGAGCTCTGCACGGGGCCGGGCCAATCCGAAAGCCCGGGCCGGGTAGCACAGGTTGTCTCCGGGACCGGGCCCGGCTTCGGCAATCGTATAGCACACTTTCTAAAACGTTGAAAAGAAAATGCTAACGCATTAATCGTTTAGATTAAAAAAAAAAATCTTCATCTTTTGAAGAATTCTATTAAAATGACTACGTTGATATTCGCATATTTATCCCGATATATAACATCTCGACAGCGCCTTTTATCTAAATTAGGCGAAACGAATCAAATGCACCACCACCTTCTCAGGGCAGCTTGGAATTGAAGAGATGAGGCACGCCTTGATAGAGTACTGCACGGGCCGGAATTTCTAGGCCCGGCCCGACCCGACCAGGAAGAGAAACTGCACGGGCACGGCAGAATTTTTAGACAGAAGCTTGAGCCCGGCCCGAGCCCGGCAGATTGTACACATGAGCCCGAAAAAGTTTGCAGGCTTTAATCTAAAAACTTTCTGAGCATAAAGCGATCATATTTGCTTTAAATTTCTTTTGAACTTGGGCCGAGTTTTTTTGACACGATAATTTGACACGATAAAAAAGACGATGTATTGGGAGAATATGGGCAAAATATGCACTTCATAAATGATTTAGGGGGAAAAAAAGTGAGCAATGTTTTATTTACTGAATTGATATTTTGAGAGGTATTGGACTTTTTGTTGTTCAATTCATTTCACGGAGAACTTTCCTCGCTACATGTTTTTGTGAAGAAACAATCTCAATCACGCTAGAGCATTTTTAAAAAGGCTTTATAAGCATAAAATTATCCATGGTAGTTAGCTAATCTTTGGGGGTATAGTAAGGCCCCTTGCATAAAGTGCAAAATCAAACTCACATTTCTTTTTTTTTTTTTTTGAAAAGCAGAGGAAAAAGACACTTATGTTGTACCTTGCGACTGGAGTGCCCTCGTTTTCTTGACCGCACTTTCCCACTATGCTGGTGGAATCATATATGCTTACTTTTATCCAAGTGAAAGCTTTCCAAATGCAAGACTTTTTTTTTTTTTTTGAGCGGCGTTGTAGTGGAATTGCATTTCGCTTGTTTGTTTTCATTGAACCTTAAATGATCACTGAGCACACTTTTTGTTATCAATAATTTAGAATTTCCGGCACACGACTGCCCAGCCACGGCCGAAATTGTTTTTGTTTAAGCCTGGGCCTGGCTTGGACCCTAGAAAATGTGTGCTACCCGGCCCGAGCCCGGCCCCAGGCCGGGCCAGGCTCAGGCTTTCGGGCTGGTCCGGTCCCGTGCAGTGCTCTAAGCCTTGACATCTAAGCCTTGACATCTAAGCCTTGATCAGGCAGGCATCCCATCGGGCCGGGTCCAAGTCAGGTAAGACTCAGAGTCAGCGGGTCCGGACCGGGCCGGGCCTCAAAAAGTTCCGAGGACACCTAAACGCTTCTTATGAATTGCGAATGCGAAAACATGAATGTCGTTCTTCCCGAGCGCTCCCTCAGTTCGTCTGCGGCGTACTGGCGTAGTCGGCCACGTTTCGTTAGGGCCGAGGTAGCGGCCGACGGCCGAGCGCGCGCTGAGCTCGGCCGTGCACCCTATTCGGAGTTTTCCCGTGCGGGCTCTGCCTGCGGCATAGAGTTCATAGATACTAACTCTATACACCAACTCAACTCTCCTACGTCACGCCGCGGTGGTGGCGCGCCGGACGCACTTCCGGTCTGGGGCGGTGGGCAGAAGTCGCCGCGCCAGACATGCATTCCTGTGTTCCTTTGGAAGAAACGAGACAAAAAACCTGCCTTCTCGTCAAAATGCTGCGACGGGGGCTGTACCAAGAGAGTCTGGGAAGGTTTGAAGATAAGTTTTCATTTGTTTTTGCCCCCTCCGTTCGTCCGAGGACGTGGATAGTAGCTGTGAAAGGGGCAGACCAGACGCTGTCGAACTACGATCGCGTGTGAGGACAACACTTTCTGGTCGCCAGATGTATTTGCTTTGCTCCGACATGAACGAGAGAAAACCGCCAAGTTGTCAGGACCACCCACGGGTTCAGTGCGCCTTCAAATTCACACGGCCGCCTGATCGTTCGAACTTTCGTCTGCTCTTTCAAACTTGTCTGCTTTTTGTCGTCTGCTCGTTCAAACAGAAGCGGCCCGTCGACCAAACTTGGACCCGGTGATTGTAATAAGAAGTAATTGCAGGCCTCAAAAGACTTAAGTAGGCTCGGTGTAAACAGTAGATACAAGATGTTGATCATTGGTACCGGTGGCCATCACCG